GGAGATAAAGACAAACCCCGTTCGACGGGTCCACAGGAGGCACTCTTCGGGCTCATCCCGGGCTCTCACTAGGAGAGACGCACTTAGCATAGGGTGTACTGAACTGAAAGCGGTGCCACACGCCGGCCTAGGGTACCATTTCCTAAGAGTACAGGTACGAACCATCGGAGCCTGGAGGTCTTCAAGAGGAAGTGGGGCCAAAAGCGCAAGTCGGGTTCGAAGCGACAGGGTGACGTCGTAGTGTGCGTGTCTGCCGAAAATAGTAGGTTAAAGGCCATCGCTTTTGGGTTGGAGGCCAACGCAAGGCTGTTGGGGCCAAAACCTAAGGTAGGAGGCCATCGCTAGTAGGTGGTGGACCATAGGCGCAAAAACACAAGAAACACAAGACAACCAAGGTTGGAGGTCATCGCCAGTGGGTAGAGGCCAGGGTACCAAGTTGGAGACCAGTGCTACCAGTTTACAAGAAGCACAAGAAGCACAAGAAACACAAGACAGCCAAGGTTGGAGGTCATCGCTAGTGGGTAGAGGCCAGGGTACCAAGTTGGAGGCCAGTGCTACCAGGCTACAAGAAACACAAAACACACAAGACAGCCAAGGTTGGGGGCCAATCTAGTGGGTAGAGGCCAAAGTTCAGGTTAAGGATCCCCTTACAAAGTTAGGAGGCCTACCTGCAAACCTATAGGGTAGAGCAGCGGAAAACAGAAGGAAAGGCACCGACACACACAAGTGTGTCGAGTACCAATTCCTCCTGTTTTCCTGAATAATGGAACAGGTACGGAAGTTTGCGTCCAAATTTCCATCCAGTCGATTTTCCGTAGCTTCATTGGCGTGACTAGGAAACCGACCGTCACGCCCTCTGTTCCAAACCTAAAGGTTCTCTTTATTCCAAGGGTTACACACACACACACTCTGACATTGGTCCAAGCACTTGTAGGTGTTTTAACAAAAGAGTTTCTCACTTGACTGCGGAAGATGCATTAGCCGCTGCTTTACTGAATACCTAGCAGACCGCCTATGCATTAGCCGCTTTACTGAATACCTAGCAGACACAGAACGGCGGCTTAAACAGTTATTAAATTTAAAAAATGCAGGTACGTTTGCACGGGTCCCAGAGGAGGTCTTCGTTGGCCACCGCTCCTCTGGGACACCCCGGTGGCCCCCTGCTTCTTTGTCTTTTTCTTTTGCTTTTTCTTTTTCTGCATCCCTGTCCCTGCCTCTTTGTTTTTTATTTATTTCTTTAGACCCCTTGGGTCTAGCGGCCTCTAGTTCCTAGTAGCGAGGCCAGAAACCATTAGTAGCATCCTTTCTTCAAGTGGGAACCTGCTGCATGCATACTTACCGGGCACGAACCTTGGAAACCCTTGCGTTAAACAATTTTGTTCTGCAGCTTTGTACACACATCGCCGATAGCGGCGTGCCGGAAGATTACTAGTCACCTAAAAAGCCTTAGAAAGAGACAAAGAAAAACAGAAAGAGAAAACGAAGAGGGCAAGAGAGAAAGATAGGAGTAGGTACGAGGCCGACTAGTTACGAAGCCTGTTAGTTACAATACATGCAGAAGCTAGCGAGCGGGACTTTTGTCTTATACCGCCCGGGTAGCTAGAAGTAGGACAGGAGAAATAGAAGGAAAGGCGCCAACGCACAAGTGCGTTGAGTGCGATTTCCTTCTATAACCCTAGATAGCGGGTGGGATAGCAACAGAGGTCCGGCGCAGGGAGGGGAGCCCGAAGGCATTGCCATCACTGACGTGCAAGTAAAGCCGATTTAGGGCCGGCGCACCCTTGTCGGAAAGGCACCTGGAAGCTAACGAAAGGCCTCAAGAAACGAAAAGCAACAGAAAGAGAGAAAGAACCCAAGAGCATGACAAGCGCATGCAACAGGAAAAGCTACCTAGCTGCTAGCTTGGTGACCCTGCGACATGTACCTCAAAAAAACCGCATGGGTGAAAATCATGGAAGGGTGGACAGTAGCGTCACTGGTCTCAAAATGGTCATGGTAGGTAACGTGGTGCTGTACACTCTTGAAATCGAAAGCGAGCTGCGAAAGTCATGAAAAACAAACGCGAAGGTGGACCAAATCAAATCAGGTGGAAATTCCGCGAAGCCCGGAGGCGTAAGTTGCAGGGAATACAAGGGTGAGACCAGAATCCAAAGCATTGAAGAATGGTGGAGTCTGTTACACGAATTCCGGAGTGAAAACGGCGCCTCCTTGCGGAGGACCACACCCAGCACCCAAGTGAGACGTCTGAGCGGCTCACACTTTGACATTGGTTTTCAGTTAATCTATTCCCAAGTGGAAAAAAGGCGAGGGAACGGCAAGGCGAAAGGTCCAAGCACTTGTAGGTGTTTTAACAAAAGAGTTTTTCACTTGACTGCGGAAGATGCATTAGCCGCTTTACGCCTATGCATTAGCCGCTTTACTGAATACCTAGCAGACCGCCTATGTATTAGCCGCTTTACTGAATACCTAGCAGACCGCTTATGCACTAGCCGCCTTACTGAATACCTAGCAGACACAGAACGGAGGCTTAAACAGAAACAAAATTAGAAATGCAGGTACGTTTGCACGGGTCCCAGAGGAGGTCTTCGTTGGCCACCGCTCCTCTGGGACCCCGGTGGCCCCCGGCTTCTTTGTCTTTTTCTTTTGCTTTTTCTTTTTCTGCATCCCTGTCCCTGCCTCTTTTTTTTTCTTTAGACCCCTTGGGTCTAGCGGCCTCTAGTTCCTAGTAGCGAGGCCAGAAACCATTAGTAGCATCCTTTCTTCAAGTGGGAACCTGCTGCATGCATACTTACCGGGCACGAACCTTGGAAACAGGTGTTGACACACACACGCACGCACGCACGCACAAGTAGTAGCGAGGTAGATCAGATGAGAAGCCTTGTGCGGATCGAAGCCTCAGGTTCTCTTCTGCGCTCAAGCTTCCGAAGGCTTGAGACAGGCAAGTCATCACAGCATCCAACTCCGGCTGAAGAACTTCGTGTACGAACCTGATTTCTTGCATGGAAAAATAAGCTCCAAGCGAGGACTTTGCCACTGATGCAAAACACCCTTTAAGGCAATTTGGAATCAGAACCTGTTGGTATACAGTGAAGGCCTCACCCCAATAGATCTGTGATTGTGCAGGACGCGCAGTCATCCGGCCTTATCAGGCAGGTTCGTGTAGGATTTGCTTTTGTGCCTCTTGTGATATCGGGATTTCCAAAGGCAGGCCTGCTCACTGGGCTGCTCGAGTCATATGCGCCGGTGTTTGCGGAGCTAGATTTGAGACAAGTTCGACTCTTAGCGCCCCATAGTCACAGTGCACTATACCAGGACTTCGGAGTCCAATGTTTCAGCACTCTTTCTTTTCTTTTTTGGCTTTGCGCTTTGACATGTCAGGCGCCCAAGCAGGCCAGCAAAACCGGCAAAAACCATTGTGACTTAAATGACAGATTTTAGATTGACCAAGCACACAGTTTCTTTGCCAAAAGGCGCTGGCACCAGCAATTCTTGCCCCAGTGCTGGCCTCCATGACCTCTTTGCAATTGCTCAAGCTACGTGACTGGGGCAAGGACTGGGTGATTTGCTGCTTCTTTACTATGTCGGCAGTTAGGACCACCTTCGCGGTCCCTACGGAATTGCAGGGATTTGATCAAATCATTTTTTGCTCTCTAGATTTGGTCAACATTGACTTCTTCATAGTTCTTCTCAGAAAGCCCCGGCCGGTTCCATGTGACTCCTGGTTGTTTTGCTTCGCCCCTTCGCCTCCGACCGCTCGCGGCGGCCTTGCATCACACCTAGACCTAGCACAAGGGGGCTTTGTGGATATCATTCTGGAGTTCGTTGCAGAATCATTCGAGTCGTTCTGTTTGTGTTGCAGGGTTCCTACTGTATGTGACATTGCCCCATGCTGTCCCATGCAAGTAGATGGGCAAACGGCAAACTTACTGTAGCTACTTTCGCCCGGCCAAGCAGAAGACGTTGAAGTGAAGGAATGGCGGGAGTTAAGCCTTAACAAGCTGTATCACGCTTTGCCCGCTGGCGCAGCACTCGCTTGCTTCGATGATGAGGGGAAGAGCATTGTGGAAGTTGTGAAGAGTGCGTCCAAAGCAGTCGCACGGTAACGCCCAAAGCGCCAAGCCTCATGGCACCTCTGAACCGTAGCTCCGCGAGGCTTTGCGATTGATATTCATGTGCATTCTTCAGGCAGAGACTTCCATGCCGCGAGAAGCGTTAGAGCAGCAAAGGAGGCAGAGGAGTGCAGAGGAATCGGTTTGGGCACTGGCTTTGAAGGCCTCTTATAGCCAATGCTTTGCATAGAACATAGATGGACATAGCATGCCGGCACTGGGTTGCATTGCCTGGTGTTTGAATGGTAACGAAGCTGAGAGCAAAAAGCCGAAGAAAGGATGCAGACGATTTGTGCAGCGCCCCACGAAGTATCAGGGTGTTTGCGCACTGCAAGCACCTTGGAACAGGTCATGGCAGTGGCACATCATTTGCACGCACAGTGAGGCGCGCCCTGATGGGGTCTAGATTAGATCGATCGAAACTATCAACCGGTTGAGAGACCAGTACCACACTCTTGACATTTCTTGACTCTTGAGGCGATGGCCACCTCAGGAGCCTCAAGACTGAATGCACGTGAAAGTATGTGAAAGTATATATATATATAACTTCGTTTCAGCTTGTCATGTGCACCTGCTTCTTGACACATGTTGATTATTTGTCCGCGGCTTCGACTTTTAGTAAAAAGCCTAGATGTTACGATGACGTTGATGAAGCTCAGCTGACGTGATAGCTCCACATAATCACATGCTGTTTGCAGAACTTGTATGCCATTGCAGCTCCGAGACACACCGGCACCACACCAGTCGAAAAGTAGCCAAATAAGCAAAGGGGCGGTGTAATTACTTGCTTGAGTCGATAAGCACCCAAGCAGTGTTAGGCAGCATGGAAGGTTAGGCCTAGGCCTGAGGCTTCGCCATGGAATCTTAAACCTCGCATGCAGTCCAGAGCCCATGCTCTGTCCAAGAGGCCATGCCACAACTTCCGAAGGAAAGAAGCTGCGCCTCTTTTCCAGGTACGACTGCGATGTTTGTCATCAAAAAGTGTCGGAACGAGGTGGAATGTACCACAAGTGCATGGCCGGCTGTGACTTTCGCGTGTGTGGAATGTGCAAGAAAGAGGCGGAGAAGAGCAACTACTTTGTCGAACCCTGCACTTTTGCATTTCCAAGTGGCCTTGGGCCCTTTGAGATTCGGCGCACCCGCTTGCAGTCCCATGATTTGATTGCTCTACGCCGTGCCAATGTGGGGGATTGGGCTTTGGGGGAGACCTTTTTCCAAAGCGCTCCAAGCCTTCGGAAGTGCTGGGGTGCATTATTGCAGAACGGAGTAGTCGTGGAGGGTCCAGGTGGCCAAAGATATATTTCTGTTCAAATGTCACCAATCGCGACTGTGCGCCTCTCCTTGGAAGTGCGCGAGGCGAACAAGATCCCCGATGTTCCTGGGGTCATGGTGGCGTGGATGTATGCTTTGCAGCTTGAGTGGTCTATGATTCTCAGCATGATGGATGAGAATCAAGATGATGCCTCTGCCGAGTGGTCTTTCCTCAAGCTGGGGGGCCTAGTTTACTTTCAGCAAAAGGAGGACCAACGATCTTTCCAGGTGCTTTGTGCAAACTCGATTGCTTTTCATCCACGTGGTTGCATGCAGTTCTCTGCTGCCCAGCCATGGTGCTCCGAGTGGACGCAAAAATTGTCCCGCAGATTTCACAAGGTCACAGCACAAAAGTGGGCAAGTGCCGGTGCTCGTTATGTTTGTTGGGTTTGTCCCGAAGAGAAGATCTTGAGACCCGGTGCTCGCAACGGTGGCTTCGCATTTCTCTTCCATGAGCTCGATGAAGAAGATGTGGCGGGTCAAGACCGTTTTTTTTTGAGGTTGTGGGCAAGCCTCTCCGCCAAGGTCACGGCTATCAAGGCCCACAAACATCACAAGTCCAGCACGTGGAATCCATGGAATCCCAAACAGCCTTGTCCTACCGAGTGGTGGGGGAAGTGCCAGTGACCTCGAGACATATGGAGGCAAGCCAACGGCGTTGCTTTAAAGCTGCCAGTGGTGGACGTTGGGCATTGTTGGCACACGTCCTCTCTGAACTCCCACAGCTGGCAACTGCAGTGAATGAAGAAGGTGCCTCAGCAGTTTTTGCCTTTTGCGGCAGTGCGGCGGCTTTTGTCCATTCATACCTATGAACTTTGCTCTCTTTTTTTGCACATCCACCGTAGCAAACGAACATGAAAGCGCGTGAAGAGGTAGGCCTGATAGCTACTTCTTAGATGTGATCACCCGCTCTTTAGCACATGGCCAGCAAGCGATCCAAACTCTCTCGATTTGGGGTTTGCTGCATTCTTCTGAGAGAGAAGAGGCAGTGACTCAGGTCAAACTGTGCTCCATTGCATTGCCTTGGGAAGGCCAAAGACGCGCCGCGCTGCTGAACTGCTTCGCATTGTGCATGCACATCACGGAGACCTAGAGGCACGAGACCATCAGGGACAGATGCTTGGTAGAAAGATGTAGAAAGCAATAGCTCCAATTTCTGCAATGGCCGCTGACGCTATCTCAGTACAGTAGTATTTTCTTGATGTTTCACAGTTGCACCCTGACCTTTTGTCGCTTCTTTGCCATGGGCCCTTTGCAACCCAGGAGAGCTTATGATCTTGGTGATTTGGTCTTCAAAGCTCAAGCCTGCGAAATCTGGGGACTATCCCCAGACCTTTTTGCAGACCCTGAGGCCTCGTCCGACCAGGTTTGCTGAATTTGTAGTTGTTGTGTTTTGTTCATTTGGTGTGTATATATATATATATATATGTGCGCGTGTGTATATGTCAGCGGGTTCCGCGACTAGAGTTGAAACAGTCAAGTCTGATCGAGCAGTGAAGCCATGGGAGGTGTGGTTCGATTATTGGGATGTGAACAAGGATGGCCACTTGTCACCAGAAGAGTTAATCCCTGCCTTGACTGCAGCCTATGAAGTTGGTGATCTCGGCAAGCAGTGGATTGAAAGCTATGTGAACACTCACTATCGCGAGATGGCCGCGCTGGACCCTAATGCCCTTTTGACAAAGAGTGCATTTCTGGGAAATGATGGACTCTTGCACAAGCTGCAATCCAGTGAAGAGTTTATCAGTTTGCGTGGTCAAGAGGACAGCCCTCGCATGAACATGCCGGCTCTTTTTCGCACAGAAGGTCGAAAAAAAACCTACAGCCGCGGACAAAGAGGCAGTAAATGTGTTCAGCGCCAGGCTTGAGGAACTGCGGAAAAAATTTGGCTGGGAACACGGGAAATCAGCTCCATCATGTTCTCGATTGCTAGAGCTGCCACCGCCATATCCTGGTGGAGACATTGACCCCGAGCGTCGTTTGAAGGCAGCGCAACGAATGCTGGCAGTTTCTTTTGCGAAGACCACTGCCCGAAGTGGCAAGGAATGGTTGCAAGGCTTCACCATACAGTTCACCGGCGATGATGCAGGGATTGACCATGGCGGCCTTACAAAGGCTTGGGTTCAAGAGGTTGGGTACGCGCTGTGGGGCAGTGATGCCTTTTTTGATACAACAGCTGCAGGAAGTCTTTTCAAACCCGATAGTGCAACCGACGTGCTTTTGCACTGCTTTCATGTGCCCTCTGAATCTTTGTACAGATGGCTTGGCCGCTTTCTAGCATATGCTCTCTACCAGCAGTGTGTGTTGGATTGCGCTCTCAGTCCATGGGCACTCCGCTGGCTGATACGTGTTATTGAGACGCAAGCAGCCGCACCAGCCCTACTCAGACAAGCAGCAGGGTCCTGGCGTCGTGATGGCAGCGATGATTGCAAAATTGCAAGCATTTCTGGATCCGTGCTTTTGTCCCACATGGATGCTTGGCAGCTACATGCATTTGGCCAGTGGCATTAGGACGCCATGTGCATTGTGTAGGTTAGTTGAGCATCACCTGAACCAATTCTGAGGATGCGAGTGGCCTTCCACCAGAAACTCCCCTCCGGGTTTCAGGCAAGTTTGTTGGGAAGTTGGGAGGGGTGAGGCGAGGGTCATAGGAGACCAAAGACAAGAGAACGCGCGATGACACTATTTGGACTCGGACAATTTGCATCAGTTCTGTCCTGGTAGGTCAACACATTGAGGCAGACTTTGACGGTGAAACTGTCAGGGCTACCCTTTCTGATGGCCAACTCCACTGGAGTGATGGAGATCTTTGGGTGAGATGTTCTGAAAGCTCCATGTTGCCCGTGTGGGAACAAACACCCACCGGGGATGATCAACTTCTAGAGGACCTGGCGACGATGGACCCGGCCATGGCCAACAGCCTGTGGCGTGTGCGGCATGAGATGCTGGAGGAGGATTTGCAGTGGCTCACGTTTTCATATGGCGGCCGAGAGCTTGTTCCAGGTGGAGATGATATAGATGTAAGCGCCGAAAATCGAGCGGAATATGTCCGATTATGTTGCAAGGCCGCCCTGTTGTACACTTCCCAGAGAGCTTTCCAAGCCTTCAGTGATGGATTCTTTGAGGTCATTCCCCCAGAGATGTTCCTGGGTGCTCCGGTTGACATTTTTCAATGGCTTTTGCTGGGTAACGCCCAGATTTCGGACGCACAGATGAGCAAGCTGGAGCAAATCATTATTCCGGAAGGCTTGGTGCCCAAACATCTCAAGGATCAAGCAGAGGTTCGAGATTCAGCTCGATGGGTCTTTGACATCATTCACAGGTCCGATGACAACTTCAGGCTGGAAGGGATGCCAGGATTCTATATTCTATATGATTCCAGTCTGTTCCGGCACTAGAGAAGACGCTCAGAAAATACGTCAGATGCCCATGCCACCACATGTGACCACCCCGACAAAGTCTCCACTACGTTGAACGAATACTTTGCTCCTAGTAGCGAACATTGTTCCTAGTAGTACGGCCAGGAGCCGCTAGTAGCGTCCTCTGACCCTGCGTTCAGGTCTCGGCTCTTCGAATTTTGGACGGGCAACGGGCGCCTTCCTCTGGGAGGTGTCGAGGCTATTGAGCCGAAACCACGGTTGCAGGTCATGGTCTCTCAGGAGAAGCAATATATTCCCGTTCGCACCCCAGATTATCATTTGCATTAATTTGCTTCTTCGTCAACACATCATTTACCACAATGTTTTTAGCCAAGTATGTCTACGTGTCACGTGTCTTGCTGAGGTGGACTATGTTTGGGAGGTCCAGATTCCTGGCGGCTGGCGAGCATACGGCCAACAAATGTGTGGCAATTTGAACAATATGCTTGAAGCTGGCCTCAGGACTGGCAGTTACTTGAACACGACTAGGGTACTAGGGTCCCAGCGCTTCTGACCTCTTCGGGATGTTGCAGGATGTGCGAGTTCCAAATGGGCCCTAATAAGATCGTGATTGACCTTGGCTTCAGCCCAAGACAATTTTGTCGGAGATACATACCCGAAGGCTCAGCAAGAGGACCATTGGCAGCGTTGCTTTGGCCTCCCAACTCTAAGGAGCTGGGCTACAGATTAATAGCCGCACCAATGAGCGACGCCGCATTCGGCGCCGGCCGCTTCAGTTCCTGGCTGATGACACTGTTCTCTCTTTGCAGGGGTAACTTTGTTGTGATTGTTTTTTTTTTCCCACTAACTGAGGCAGCCACAGCCAGATAGCCTTCCAGTGATTGTGAAGAGGACAGCTTATCATTGCCATCAATCGGGCCCTCTCAAGTGCCGGCATGCCGCAAGGATTGACTCTTGGCCAAAGACTCGGCTGCCTGAAGGGTACCCTGGCGGGAATGAGATCAGCTACAGCTTTCCACTGTTGCTAGTAGCTATTTGCTCCTAGTAGTAATGCCCTTTGTTACTAGTAGCTTCTTGTTCCTAGTAGTATGGCCAGGAGCCCCTAGTAGCGTCCTTGCTCCTAGTAGCGATGCACTTGTTACTAGTAGCTTCTTGTTACTAGTAAGAAATGCCTTGCTTGGCCTTTTGAGGCACACATGTGGCAACGAGCTATGGATTCCATTGTGTGACTCGGAGGAGGAGCTTGCCAGTCGCCCAGAACCTCAACAGGGAAAGACAGCATCACCTTATGTCCTAGTGGGTCCTAGCGGCGATGGAAGAGCGGTAGTTCGTCGTCTCCTGTCGCGTCAGTTGATTTGCTGTGTTCCTTTGTTTTCGCCTCTTGAGACAGCTGTAGCTGGCCTATCCGCAGCCATGCGGTTCAATCCTGCAGAGCCGACAGTGGTTGTTTGATGCATATCTGTTCATATGCGACTTGCCTGTCACCATTCATCGCTGTTGGATACTTGAGTCAGAGAGGAAGCTTAGTTTGACGTGGCCAACCATGGACCATCTACACGGGTCCATAAACCTGACCAAAGCCCACACTCCACTTCTAGACATTGCGCATTCAATGATGTTCATAAGGGGTGTGTGTGTGTGTGTGTCAGTGTTTGTAGGTCTTTGTGTCTTGCACCTTGAGAGCAGATTCCCAGGCTATGGTGTGGAACTCCCATGGCTTTTTCCACTTCACTCTTTGGGGCTACCTGGAAGCACTTTTGAACCACAATCAGTTTTTTCACCTTTGTTTCAACATTACTTGTCTTTCTTCCTCTCTCCTCTCTCTTTTTTTTTTGGGGGAAGTGCTCGAAATCGACCTTTGCCAGGACTCAGATTCTGCCTGGTGTCTCGCTTCGCCCTCGGAAGCATGACCGAGCGACAATCAAAGCCGGCATCCAAGAAGGGGGGCGAAAGAAAGACAGATTCTTTTGAAGGGGGGTTGGCCCCTAGTAGTAGAGGAGGTAAGTAGGCTTATCGTACTATAAGTAAGTAGCTAAGTAAGAGGTAAGAAGCTAATTAGTAGCTACAGATGCTACTGCGTATGGACCGCGCTCGCACTATTTTGGTTCCATCGCTTTGAAGTATGATCAAACGTGCACACAATGCCTGGTCCCCATGATTCAACATGTCTCAAGGCACGTGAGTCTTCAGATTGATGCTCAAGCTGCGCCTAAAGCTCTGATGCGGCAGGAGGCAGATTCCACTTTTCCAACTTAGCCTCGACAGCGCCTGAGCATTGCAGGAGCAAGACACACTGGGGTCAGACAGGGCAGACAACGACCCTATAGATGCCACAGATACTCTGTGGGCACGGCTCCTTGGCACGGCAAGACATTGTATCGTATATGTTTTGGATTGTTTTGGTATCTAATATATATATATATGTGTGTGTGTGTGTATATGTATATGTACACATATGTGCTAGATAATGTAATGTAGTTACTTGATTTCTTGATTTTCTTGTTTTGCCGCCTGTTGAAGTCAGCATGAGAGCCTTCTTTTTACAACATCCCTTTAGATACGGTATTTTTGCCTGGCAGGCTTTTCGGCACTGGCGGCTTGACAAAACTATGCTTTTGTGCATTCAGGGATGCTCAAGATATGTTGGATTTATATGTCCTGTGCATTTCCAGGTGCATCTATTCCAGACTTGACAGCAGTTCCTGACGAAACTGAAATTGGGCTCGTTGGATCAAATGCATCAAGTTTGGCAAACACGTCAGAAGGGACGAGTGTTGCCGCAAGTGATGATAGCTCCATTGCAGATTTGACTCTGGTTTCTGCCGAATCTCAAATTGCCCACCAGTTCCACCAGTTTGGAAGTGCTGCTTCGCCTGGATCAAATGCATCCAATGCGGCAAACACATCGTCAGTGCCATCATCAGCGCCATCATCAGAAGCAATGGAAGCAATGAGTGTTGCCCCAATTGTTCCAATTCTTAGAATCGACAGTGAGCTCATCAAGACTAATGGCTCTGGGAACTACACTGGCCCAATGATTCCAAGCTTCAAGGACTGTCGGGCAATCCAGCCAGGAAGTGACCTCGTGATACTTCGTGTATTTCCCCGCGCGGCCAGGACTGTCGAGATGTTTGGGTGCCTGAGTGGAGTTCTGAAGACCCAGAAGAAAATTGCAAGAAGTGGGCACCTTGCTTGCTTTGGTGTGGTGACCTGCCTTGAATCCTTATGCTCGCAGGGGCATGTTTGCAGAACAGCCGAGCTCCAAATCTAAGGCTCGCAACAGTGAGTGGGGTGCACTATCAACAGCATCCTCCTTGAAAGGTGCATGTAAAGGCCGAAAAACGGACAAGAGTGTGGGCAGAGCATGTGAGTTTTTACCGAATTGGTGGCAAGAGTGTTCCTGAATGTGCCAGTCGAGTGGGCGCAGTCAAATTGCATGGCAACTTGTGGGTGCGAAGATGCTTGGCTGCCATGTGAGGCATTGTAATTTCGAACTGTCATCAACCTTCACTGCAAGTTTGGTGCAGGACATTGCAGGATTCAGCATTTGAGATGCAATTCAAGTGCATCGATGTCCATCGTTTGTGAGCCAAGGATGTCAGACGCGCGTGGCTGGACAGAGCCATCCTGCAGATTGTAGAGGGAATGGGCTTGTCAAGGCAGTGGCTTGGCCTGGCAGATTGATTGATTGATTCATTCGTTCATTACTGTAATTCATTCCGCTGTTGATTCTTTGGTGGGTTGGACACACCTAGCCGCAAACTTCTTCAGCCATGGGCCATTGGGGATTGCGGGATGCTTAAGACTAAAGCATCTTGACCACTTGAGAGAAACGCTTCGCAGGACCTTTGCCCGGTTTTTTTTCAAGTTTCCTCCAGCCCAGAAGTGACAAACCGTTCCCAAGCAAGCCTGATGGATTGAGGCAGATGGAGGAAGTGGAGTCGACATTGGAGGGCATTTCTTCATCTGGAAAGGAGGCCGTGCTGCATGTGGTGTGACTTGGACGCCTTGCTCTTTAGCTGGTTTGCACGGCACACCTTGAAATTAGCCCAGCTGGAGACCCCAATAGCAAGATACAAACCGGGACAAAAAGAAAAATCTGGAAACAGCTGCTGTTTTCAACACATCGACCATCTCTTCCTTGGACACCATCATCACATAACCGGGACACCATCACAAAATGACCAGGGCACCATCAAAACATGACCGAGACACCGTCACAACATGATTGGGACACCATCACAACATAACCGGGACACCATCACAAGGTGACCGGGACACCAGCATGACATGACGGGGACACCATCACAACATGACCGGGACACTATCACAACATGACCGGGACACCGTCACATGACCCGGACACCATCAAAACATAACCGGCACACCGCCAAAACATGACCAGGACACCATCACAACATGACCGGGACACCATCAAAACATGACCGGGACACCGTCACAACATGAGCGAGACACCATCACAACATGACTGGGACACCGTCACAACATGACTGGGACACAATCACAACATGACCGGGACACCATCACAACATGACCGGGACACCGTCACAACACGACCGGGACACCATCAAGACATGACCGGGACACCATCACAACATGACAGGGACACCATCAAAACATGACCGGGACACCATCACAACATGACCGGGACAACATGACCGGGACACCATCAAAACACGACCGGGACACCATCACAACATGACTGGGACACAATCAAAACATGATCGGGACACCATCACAACATGACCGCGCCACCATCACATGATCGGGACACCATCAAAACATGACCGGGACACCGTCACAACACGACCGGGACACCATCAAGACATGACCGGGACACCATCACAACATGACCGGGACACAATCAAAACATGACCGGGACACCATCACAACATGACCGGGACACCATGAAAACATGACCGGGACACCATCAAAACACGACCGGGACACCATCACAACATGACTGGGACACAATCAAGGCATGATCGGGACACCATCACAACATGACCGCGCCACCATCACATGATCGGGACACCATCAAAACATGACCGGGACACCGTCACAACACGACCGGGACACCATCAAAACATGCCCGGGACACCATCACAACATGACCGGGACATGACCGGGACACCTTCAAAACATGACCGGGACACCATCACAACATGACCGGGACACCATCAAAACATGACCGGGACACCATCAAAACAGGACCGGGACACCATCACAACATGATTGGGTCACAATCAAAACACGATCGGGACACCGGGACACCAGCATCACATGACCCGGACGCCATCAAAACATGACCGGGACACCATCCGCCCACCAGCTCTGACGGTGACCCGACGGCGCCCGTCCGCCTATTAGTTTTGCAAGACCCCATAGCATGGCTATTGGGGAAAAAGGAGAGTCAAGCCATACTGCATGGTCTTGGACAGATGTCCTCATCACTGGACATCGAACTGAAGGGGATGGTCCGGGGCATCTCCATCCAAGGGTTCTCCAGTGAGACAAGTTAAAGTAACCATCACATGAAGAAAAGTTAAAGCAACTTCGGCAATGTGTATACTTTGGAAACACTTGTTCTTGTTCGTACAGCGAATGGCTAATAAGGTGGGCTGCAGCTGGAGCTCTCAACATGGACAAAGCAAAGGCTTCACCTGCGGCTGCCGGGAAAGCCGATGCATACAGATAGCAATCATGGCAACGTTTCGTTCACCTGTCGACCTGCAGAGGTCGATTTCTTCATAGCAAATAGCTACTAGTAGCGTCCTTGCTACTACTAGCAAGGCCAGGAGCCCCTAGTAGCTTCTTGCTAGTAGCGATGCCCTTTGCTCCTAGTAGCGTCCTTGCTACTAATAGTAATGCCAGGAGCTACTAGTAGCTTCTTGCTACTAGTAAGGTGCCTTGCTACTAGTAGCGTTATGAGACACTTCTAAGAGTCTCTGCCTCAGGGCACCTGAAGCTAAGGCATCAGGAGAAGCGGCTGAGACAGGTGATGCGACGGATGAAGGATCAGCAGAGGAATCAACAACGATTTCACCTGCCGCAGCGAGTGACATCATCCGCATGTCTGCAGCCTTGGGCCTGGATACAGAGTGCCTTAGCGACAAAACAAATTTCACCGATATGCATATGTTTGGAATGAATGGTGATCCAAGTAGCCTTGACGGCAAACTATGGAACAGCACTCCAACAAATGAATGCATGCATAGCATCTTGGACAAAACGGGGCGAAGCTGGTTTGAGGCAAGCCAAGCAGCTTAACGCCACACTACAATTGATTGACCCTGAGCACTACGACGACGTCTTGGATGTTCTGTAACTTGGCATGCCACGTGATTTTGTGGATTCGTCGTTGTAGTTGATAGCCTCGTGCTCCCCACATTGGCCGTGTGGCCATGTTGAGCAAAATTCAATTCCAGCACGTTGCTAAACAAGGACAGCGATTCATAAATCCGCCTCGACAACAACAACGAGCACAGCAGTCTCCGATGAGGAAATCGAGCAGGCAGCATACGGCTTAGGCATCAAGGAAGAGCACCTCAGCTCCACATTGCAAGATTGAAGCCGAATGACCAGAATCCTGGGAAAAAGAGAAGAACACCGGGGCCTTATTAATGGAGCCCTTACCTTCTAGTTGTTGTTTCTCAGACTTCTCTTGTGTAAGATGTGTTGAGACTTTGCAAGTGCATCCGAACAGTCCGTCGAAAGACTCTTCGCGCGATGTCGGACTAAGGAAGCCGTAAGTCGTGAATTTTTAGCTTTAGTTTTGTGTAGTTGTTTTGTTCTGATGTCAGTTTATGTACTTATATAATATAGTGTAGCTTGGGGCCGCGAGCCATGCCCAACCACCAGAATGTCGTGGTGTGTTATGGTCATAATATGTGGCACAAATGGTTTGCATCCGAGGGATATAGCCCAGATCCATGCCACCCTCAGCAACATCAAGCCGGAACTGAACCATGAGATCCTTCATACGGTCGAAGACCTCAAGGTGCATGTCCCACAGAGCTTAGCAGAGCTTCCAGTGTGGACATTGAACATGGAGAGTGTAGACCTTGACATGCTTTGCGCTTTGACTGAGGCAAGCACTAAACAGATTGGCGCCACTGGGTTGCAAAAGACGAAAATCCGGAAAGACAATGGACAGATCGCTTTGTCTAATGGGAGCATACACTTAAATGCATGTGGCTTGCATGGGGGGGAAACACGCTGGGACTTGGCGTGAATCGTTTGGCATTGCAGGTGGAGCGGACCCAGCCTTAGCTGTTTGGCTCCTCTATGTGCCACACACACAAGGCAACATGCAAGAGAACGTTGTTGGTATCGCATCCCATCAGTTCTTGCTCAGGACTGGAAAGGCAATCGTGAAGCATTTGCAGAATTTAAGCAAGCCGAGCACCAATCACCTTCCGCATGAAGTTGAACCCAATAACTTTGTCATCTCTGTGGCCTCTTGGCAGCCTTAGCAGCAGAAGAAGCAAGTAGATTGAGGGAGCCAACGCTGGAAAGGCTGCTGAAGTGATAAATAGATATATATATATATATATAAATAGGAGCAAGGCTTTCAAGGCTTTGAAGCCGAGGCTTCTGCTGATGCTCGCGAGCTCTATCGTGAGACGTGCCTAGCAAAGATTTTCCTTTTCCCAGGCCAGGTTGCGGGTTCTGATTTGTTGGTCACTGAGGCAGGGGCATGATCCTCAAGGCTTCTATTTGAAGGCTCCTTCGGGCGCGAATCGCGCGAAGTATCACCTGTTCTTTGCGGCCTATCTTTGGCGGATGAGAGAACGTGCTTGTCAGGTATCTTTGCCAGTCGAGAAGGTGGTGAGTTTTATTGAAAAGAAAGCTGGAGTCAGCGTGGAACCCAGGAGCTATCTTGGAAATTGCATGATATTCTATTGCCAATCGACCCCACCTGTCAGCACGTCAGGGTTGTTGGACTAAGAGGATCCCTCTCTCCTCTCGACTCTCTTCCTCCGTCTCGCCTCACAACAGCAAGCGCAACATCGCAGTGGACACTGGACCTCCACTACTCTTCGAGCACAAACCAGACTTGATGCCACAAGCGTGTTCTCCATAGTGTCAATCCGCATGTCCGCCTTTGTCAGGCTAGTCAATACAGCCCCGCCTTCTTCCAAATCGCCTTTATACTCGAAGTAATTTTATGTACTGTAATTGGCAAATTTTATTGCCGGTGGCATGTAGCTAGAGCTGCAGGGACATTTGACGGTCTAGACGGGGTCAAGCCTTGTGGAACATATCAAAGACAAACAGAGAGAGGGGGGGAGTTTACGCAGAATGCTCTAGTCCGGTGGTTCACCTTTGTTTGGAACTCAGGTGTGAGATTGTGTGAGTGTGTGCGCAGAGCTCGGTGCTTATTGACACGTCTTGTGAGCTTGACTCCAGGAGGCTGAGCTTGGCAATTGCTCGGTTGGAGTTTTCCTGGCCGCTTTGATGCACTGGCTACTTCTGCAAGGGGCTGGACGGTGTTTAAAGATGTCAAACGTGCCGGGAGGCGCATCACCTGTCAGGCCGTCATCCAGCTGTTCCAATGATGAGAGTGGCTTTACAGACCCTTGGATGACGGTCACACTCAGTCAGCATGTGCTGGCGCTTCAATGAGGAATGAGGTGTGACATGTGCCTCAACTGTTTTTGCCGTCAAGGACTTCAAGCTCTTGGATTTCCATGCAGGTCAGATGTCAAATGAAGGCTCTAGCTGTGCCAGATCAGCAAGAAGTTTTTACTTCCCTGCTTGTACACCAACCCCGATGCAGGGCGCACACACACAGATGCACTTGGGCAGTTGAACATCGTGCTCCAAGGTGGTTCACTGGTGGCAACTAGCATCGATCAGAATGGTGAGCTACGACTGCCCTCCAAGGGCAGCCAGGATCTGTTCCTGTTGGCGGGCATGTCCCTGCCTCGGCGCTGCCTCGATGTCCCCAAAAAACCTACGTCGTGCATCATCCGGTCTTTTTTCAGGTTTGGCAGCAAGTACTCGGACAGCTACGAGGGGGGCCCAGGTTGGTGGACTCAACACGGCACATGCTCCAACCTACTAGCGATGGCCAACATACATGGAAGTGAGACAGAATGGTCACCGTGGAATCGTTTCCATGCAGGTGAACTTGAAAATTTCCCAACTGGTCTTTCACGAGATCCGGGAAGGTGGAGATGTGGTTGAGTACAGCCGCCTGACTACTGTCGAGACCACCCTTAGTGCAGTTGACCTTTGAATTGAGCACGTTCGTTTTAGCTGAGGCATTTGCGGCCGAGGGTCCTTAACCTGGAAGGCTCTGAATGTTAGTCGCTGCTTGACAGATCTTGAACGAGATCACTTGAGTCACAGGATCAGCACTTCTATTTGGGATGTCCAGACGAGAACCCTCTGACGATTGCGCACCCAGAGGGTAGCTTAGGGCTACTTGGCGGCAAGAGTCAACCAAAGACTAATTGATAGGGGCATATTGAGACTTCAATGTGGGCTCCAATGTGAGACAGCAGTTTTTAACAGCAACCCACGAAGCACAAGACAACAAATCCAACGTAAAACACTCAAAAGAATCCGAGAACCGGAACCAGGAGAGCAAGATGAGTATGATAAATGAGGAAGCGAGAACGGATTCAACTGGTCAGTAGTCCTTTTTTGCAATTGAATGTTGTGCCAGATCTAGGAAAATCTAGGTCTATAAAAATAGGTTGAAATTTATTGCTACTATATATATATAGTTGTTCTTAATCCTTCCTGCCTGCGTGTCAACTCTCGGAGTGGATGCTTTGCTAAACAAAGGAGCCAGCACACACGGGGTTTCCCTCCGCAATTCAAAATCCAGACACTGGACATTGCCAGGGACAGTGTGAAGCTATGTGGTGGCGGGGTTCCAGCAGAGGATGATGCAATCCAGTCAAACTGCAGCTCAGTGCAGACAAGTCCGCTGCAGTCCCTTCTATCAGCTTGAATGAGTGGACTTGTATTGTGGGAACCGTTTGCTACCACGCTTCCCAGCTCAGGCTTTGCGGTGCCTGAATCGAGTGAGATGTAGGCCGACAAGCAAGACTAATCTTTCATGCGGAAACGAGCCACTGAGCACTGAGCACAGCGCACTGAAAAGTGGTTGCACGCTTGGAAACGGGGGGCTGTGTGAGTTAGTTAAAGTGCTTGTAAGCTTGAGAATCTTGGTGCTTCCACTTCTCACCTAAAGCTGAGGCCAAGCTGATGTACACAGCTGTGATGAATTTTGAGGCGGGCTGGTTACTGGGCGCGGTTGCAACCAGGGAAGGGCACCGGTTTCCAAAGTTGGAGGATTGCGAAAGAGATACGAGAACTTAGTTTGCATTTTGAGTACTAGTTTCCCCTTGCATCTCAACTGTGTAAACACGGTCAGCTCGAGCTTTGGACGATATTCATAGGAATAGCTGAAGCTCTTGGGATCACAGCTGTTTTACATTCTTACACGCCCCATTCGTCACGTGGCTTGATCAAAGCACATACCATGAGCAGGAACCAATGTAGGATAACAGCCCACCCATTCATCGGTTGATTTGTTCTGGTTCACTAGATAGGTGTGGAATGCTTTGGAATGAAATGTAGGAGACGCAGGCCAAAGCTTCGTGCTAGGATGACACCTCAACTCCGAGCAATGGCTTTAGCAATGCTGACAGTGCTTCTCCCAAGGTCTTTCCACCAAAAAAGCGCCCGCGTTGTCTGGACTGTCTCTGGCAATGCCCACGTGAACAGTGCTTGGTCAGTATTTTGTGCAGCTCTGGCTCTTCATTCTTTGCGGGTATGGTCGATTGAGTGGTGGCAAATAGGCTTTCGGGGAATGATTGCTTTGGCTTTGAGGCACCTTATAGCCGTGGCTTGTGGCCTGCCATGCCTTCGCAACATCGTGCAGCGAGAAGTGCGCAAGGAACTTGCATCAGTCGAGAGCAAAATGCATGGACAGGGAGATTCGCAGGCTTTGGTCAAGCTGCCGCAAGAAGCCTGGTCCTGCAGCCGAATTTGGCAACAGATTCAGCGTTTTCAAGCAGCGGAGGCATCCGTATATGCCGCTCGGCCTGAAAGTCAGACACAAACAAACGCTTTCATGCAACAATGTGTATCATGTTCCGGACTAAGCATTGCAGCCTATTGCAGCAACAGTGGTGTCTGAGGTTGGCATTGCCAAGAAGTGGGCTGGCATATATCATGCTCCAGAAGGTGACTTGGTGAATTTGCAAAACAAGGTCTGGAGCCTCTACAACTGCTCCAACACTCTTTATGAAGGGGTCTTCCCCTCTGTCCGCAAGTTTGAAGCGGAACTGATCAGTTGGATTCTTCATATGTTGCATGCAGGCACATCAAGCTGTGGCCTTCTTACATCGGGTGGCACAGAGTCAGTTTTGTTGGCTGCTTTGGCTTATCGAGAACTAGGGCACCGTAGGGGGATAGCAACCCCACGCATCCTGGCCGCCAATACGTGCCACCCTTGCATTGTCAAAGCGTGCCACTACTTCGGACTGAAACTCACAAAGATCCCCGTCCATGCATCTTCAGGCTTTGCACTCACTGCTGCTGCCGTTAAGTCTCACATAACAGGCGATGTTATTTGCATCTATGCTTCAGCCCCTAGCTTTCCACATGGCGTCATAGATCAGATCGAAGACCTCGGGCAATTGGCAAGCTCCCATGGCATCGGTCTCCATGTGGACAATTGCCTTGGTGGAATTCTTCTCTCCTTTTTGGACGCTCAAGATTTGCCAACACATCAGCGGTGGGATTTTCGCGCAGAAGGAGTGACTTCCATCAGTGTGGATGTGCACAAGTATGGCAATGCCTCCAAGGGTGTGAGTGTGGTGTGCTTTCGAGATCCGGAGCTCAGGCGATTGACGTATGTGCCAGTGACCGACGGCTGTGAGGGCTTGTATGTCACACCAACGATGCAAGGCGCACGCGGAGGTGCTATTATTGCTCAGGCATGGGCCACCATGCTTAGCTTTGGGAACCACGGCTATGAGCGCTTTGCGGCTGAGATCCACAGGTCCCACTTGAGATGCCAGGAGATTGTCAACAGCATCCCTGGGCTGTGCCTCGCCTAGTCATTGCTTTTTGTTTGAGCTCTGGTTTGTTGACCATCAGTGGCCACTGACTTCGGATGCGATTGGATTCCATTTGTGCTGAGGTTTGTGCTATGCAAGTGCCATGCATGCATTGTTCCAGTGGGTTCAAAAAAGTATGACATCTATGCCGTGGCTTCGGTGTTGGAGGAAAAGGGTTGGAACCTAGCAACTGGGCAGAATCCACCTTATTTAGGCATTTGTATCGGGGAGCGTCATTCCCAAATCCTTGATGAATTTGAGCAAGACCTGCGGTCTGCCATCGCGTATTTGGACGAGAATCCTGGCCACAAGCCTACAGGGGCAGCTGCAGTGTATGGTGCCATGTCGACCACTCCGACAGCTATTCTGGAAGAGGTTGTGAAGAGATATGTGGACATGCGCCTGTGGGTCAAGCCGCTTCAGGTTGATACGGATCTTTAAAGCTGAGCTTGGTGGCTGTTCGACCTCTCTCCGAGTCCCTAGGCCTGAAGCTTTTGATCCACTGAGTTGGCCTGCGACTGACCAGCGAGAGTTCGCATGCGCTGAGAAACAACAAGCCATGGGCCACTGGGTGGGAATGATATAAGATAAGTGACACGAGTCGATATTGCACAAGGCAAGTTCATGCCGGTCCCGAGGGTTCGAAGAGGTTCTGGGTAAGTGTTTAACAAATCATGAGACCGGTCAAGTGTTGTTGACGTCCTTGTTTGTGCTCCAGGCTGGTTTCGCGATGAGCTAATCCAATCGCGAGCAACAGACGGTGCTGTTACTGTTCTATGCAGTGACCGTGCCGCTCATAGTTTAGATCGGATCTTTTGGCGGTGGGTTTCCCGGCTGACTGCAAACACATGTAGACTAGGCGTTCAGCTGGCCGCCGTGAAAAAAAGACATTGTCAATCAAGACCTCACACCAAAATGTCTGAGAAATCATTTGGCGTGCATGATGTAGCCAATGCTGGCCATTGGTTTCCGCAGCCCAAAGCTCAAGGCAGGTGCCCAGGGATCTGGGATCGTTTGGGTGCTTTGCTCAATGGCGCAAATGGCCGCCGCACAGCCTCCCGTGGATCCAAAGACGCAATTGACACTCCCTTGCATCTATTCAAGCAAATATGACTACGAAGGACACCTATATATTATGCATAAGAAACTGCATGTGATATATTCATATATATATATACTGTATATATTTGTGTATATAACTGAGTTTTGCACGCGCACCTTGTGGCTGCCACACTTACTGTACTGAATTTTGGATGCTAGGTCTCAGGCTCGGTATCAGAGATGTTCATGCAGGGAGGCAAAGAAACTGTACCATTTGCTGCCAGTGTTTCGCTATTGAATTTCAAAGAGGAAACATGACAACAATGTCCGTCTGAATGTCTCTTTAGTTCGACTTCTGTGGAGCATTTGTCATTAGTTCTGCTTCAGATTCCGCGTTTGACCTGAGGAATCATTTTTTGTCAGAAGTTTTGCCAGCGGCCTGTGACCAAGAGCTACTTGGTTTTTTAATTCAGTTTGACAAGAGCTGCTTGTTGCGAGTTGATGCCGGAACTCATGAACTTGCAGAGCTGAGGCGATATCTCATACACCACCAACAAGCATCCTGGCTCATTTACAGTGATTTCCGGTGTGTGGGTCAGGTAGTGTCAGGTATATTATCAATAAATTAATCATCTCTTTAACTAGTGCCAGTCCTGGCCCCGGAAGTTGACTTCCTTTGTTCCTCGTTCAATAGCGGTTCCTGTTCTCCTTGCTGTCGGTTCCAGGGCACCTTGGACGTCATTGATGGTTGACGAAGTGAGGTGGATTGAACATCCCTTCCACTGCGCTGGTTGCACCTGTTCTCCCTTTCCTCCTTTTCTTCCTTTTCCTCCTTTTCTTTGGTCGTTGTTTCTAATAGCAATGGCCTCCACCCGTTCTCCCCCCCGCCAAGCTGAGGTTCGGCAACAAGCTCCTTGGCTCTGCTCGAATCGGATTGACCGCAGTTTTCTAAGACAACAAACTCCATCAGCGACATTACCACATGCATTCTGAAGTTTCTGCGGCATTCTTGTGGAAGTAGGCCTTACCATGTTATGCTTCTGCGCAGCTTCCTTTGATTTGTTGCTTGCAGAGTCTTCGTGTGTAATTTCAAAGCGCTGTGATTCGCAATTTCTCAACAACTGACGATAACTGAGGTATCAAGCAATTGTGAGGCTTGACTGTGTGCAGGGACAGGAGTATGCGGGCCACCTTGTGCTGAACCAAAAAGATGCTGAGAAGCGAGGTTCTGAGATGGGTGAGGCTGATCAACAGTTATATATATAAGCGATGTTAAGCTGAGCAGCCTACACACCCTTGGGGCCAAGGTCTGCAGCTGAGCAGGCCATCATTGCTTTCTCGCAAAGTGAGTTGCTAGAGCAGCAGACTGCAGCAGACAAGGACCCAAAGGATTCATCATATTCTCGCACACTCGGACAGGAAAATGGACTCTGCTGTGCACTGAACTCTTTGAACTTGCAGCTGGAGGACAAAAAGAAGAAGAAGCCGACAAAGCTGACCCCGGAGGAACATGCCCAGAGAAAGGCAAGGTTGCACACTGATTTGCAGCTGTGTTTTGATGTGTTTTGCAACAGCTACGCCCTTTTTTGTGAAAACACTTGTTTGGGTATCAGCGTTCCATTGGGATTAGCTCCCACGGCTGACTGGGGGATGACTTCTGGGAAACAGCGTTGCCATGGTGATTTGGCATTGAAATAGTGACTTAGTGGCAAGGGATGACTAAGGGATGACTTTTGTCAGGTTCCTGTACGCCATGTGGTGCAGTGATGCGCGTTTGATGTACTCTGTGGAGGCTAAGCAGGAAGAGGAAGGCAATCCGGCAGTAACGCCAAAGACATTGCTGAACGCAGCACAGCCGCAAGTTGGTCCATTGAGAGTCAATTGTGCATATTTGGGTTTTGTGCAAACTTTTTTTGATTTTGTTAGAGCTTCCGATAGCTGAGCTTCAAAAGGTGTTCCTCCTCAGACTTGTTCTGCTTCTGTTTCGCTGCAATCCAAGGCCTTGGTGATGAAAATTATCAAGCGGTACCTCCAGAAGGCCCATTTGGAAGTCACGAAAGCCAACTCCCATCACCTCGTTTCCGGCCACTTTCACTCACCTCATCTTACTTGGCTCAATCTCATCCTGGTGTCCATGTTGTGTCCTAAAGCCATAGCCCATAGCCCATGGCCTCACTTTTGGCCCACTTCGATCTCAGCACCTCACTTCACCCTCTACTCCGTTGGCCTCACCTCCGTCTGCGTCCCACAACCGACATCGAACTCAATTAACTTAAATCATCAACCCGTTGATTCTACTCAAGCGTATTGAAGTTTCAGTCACTAAAGTGTGCAGCAAACAAACATTCATTAAAGTTTTTGTCTCACCTCTCCTTATGCTTTGACTCCTTCGCCTTGCTGATCCCACTATATTATACTGCTCGCTCCCTTGCTGTTTCTTTACCTTTACCTTCGTGGGTCCCTTCAGACACTGACAATCCCTTTTAATGCACTCATTTGCACTAAGACAATTTTTTGATCCCTTGCTAGCTTTTAAACTCCCCACTGCACCGGCCTTTGTTCTTGTGGAGGAAGGCAAACTACTTTACAATGATGCTTCTTTCAATCCATTTTGATGCCTGATTCTTTTCAGGGTGAGACTGTTTATGAGACCAAGACCTATGCTGGTGGTGGGCATCAGGACAGGGTCGGTCATGACAAGCAGCTGCTGAGCGGACTCAACACTTGAGGCCACGGTGAAAATCACAGCTTTGCCAGACGAATGGGGCAGCCGAATGTGGGCTGGCCATGCTGCCCGACTGCATTGTGTCCCACCAAGCATGGCGCCAAGACTGGCTTCGGCAAGTGACCCATGGAATGCTGCGCGCAGGTATGCAACACGAAGCAGAAGGCGTGATGACTCGTTGCACGCCACCGTCACACATGACCTACCCAAGTAAGTGACTCATTAGGCCGAGCAGAGTGCTGCTGAGATGGCCTTGGAATCCATAAAGCAGGCAGGTGGTAGCCATGGTGGGAGCATGCGGGATTTGCGGGATTTGATGGGTTCCACCCAAAGGTTGCTGGAAGCACGTGATTGGCATACGACAGGATGCAGAGCTCATGAAGGAGTCCGAGAAGCCAAAAGGAATGGGGAAGGGCGAGAAGGCTGTTCAAGCAAAGTGTCCTTTGATGTTTCTTGTGATGCACGACGTGCAGGGCAAAGGCAAGGGCAAGGGAATGTTGTGGGGCCCATGGTCATTCGGATGGACACTTGGCAATGAACATTGCAAGCATCAAGTGTACACGTGCTGGGACCAAGCATGGACATGCTTGACGGCGCATTGATGGAACTTGGTCGGACTGAGGTGGAATGCAAAAGGCGGACTTGCAGAGAATTTTGAAGCGGACCAAATGAATGCAAATGCAAATGTGAAGCTTCCATGGCTTGACATTTGCGTGGAGCTTCTTGGGTTCCAGGCTCCGATCTTCCCCGCAAGCCCGTAAGCACGGAGCCTATCACTGGCGAAGTCGTCGAGTGGAAGGAGATGCCCGTTCAATAGGGTGAAAGCCCTTGTGTGCGGCAACCCTCAAATACAGTAGCAGTTGCCTCTGTTTTACCTATAGTATGATGACATATGATGACCAATCTGATGCCTTTCATTGCCTTTCCATATTTGGTCTAGGGCTTGCTCGCACTTTTTGGAGGATGCCTTTGGGTGGATCAAACCTGACGTGACTATCGATCACAAAGATGCTGGCCGCCGTGAAGGGAAGATCTTCGCTGCTTGACAATGACTTGATTGAGTCCGAGAGTGAGTGACATCCACTTCAATTATGCCGCCTCGTTAGAATGCTATTAGGTTGGAGGCCATCGCTATTAGGTTCGAGACCATCGCTAATTATTTGGTTGGAAGCCGTCGCTTAGTAGGTTGGAGGCCATATCCTGTACTTGTGTCTCTGTTTGAGGTTTCTCGTGTCGGGCAGGGTCCCTGGGTCCTTGTATGCTGCAGGTTGGGAAATCCGATGTGCCAGAGGCTCTGAAAATGGCACGGGCCCAAAACAGCTTCACAAACAGAGCTGCTCCGTGCAGCTTCTTTTGAGCTGTTTGGACCTAGGCAGCTGGTGTTAAAGTGAGCTTCGCTGTCTATGAGGACATGCATAGAAGGGACGGGAAACGGTGTGAAGAACGCCCACAGCAACGAATACACATCACACACATCATAAATAAATATAAATATATAAATATAAATAAATATATATAAATATAAATATAAATATAAATATGTTTGGTGTTCAGCTGGTTTGAGAATTTGTGCAGGATATGATGGGTCTTGGAGCTCAAGATTTGCAAGCACTGTGACCAACTCCGGTGCAAGGTGCTTTGTCGAAGTCAGCCACTTCTTTTGGATCAGTTTGATTGACATATGATTTCCTGCTGTCCAGGCTAGTGGCCTCACGATTGAAGGCCGGGTTGTGCATGAAAGGTTGAGTGTGCTGAGTTTCTGTGCTTCAGAGTGGGAGCTTGAGTTTGGCTTTTCCGCAGGAAAGCCTTTGTCTGAGAGCCTTGTGGATGTTCGGTTGGGCTTGCAACGTTCTGTGCCCTAGAAACCCAAGAAAGGGCAAGTGACAAGGGCGTATTGAATTCCACAATGTTGACATGCCATTGCGAGAGGGAAAGGGTACTGCAACTAGAGTGCAAATAGACGCCTATGCCTTGGGCCTTGGAGCACGGCTGGAGGCTTGGGTCAAAGGCAGTACAACATGTTTTCCTCAACTGCCGAAGCATGCAAGATACACCTGTCTTGTTTGGTTTTTGTCGTGCAAGATTGGTTTTGGTTCGGTCATTTTGCTCCTCATTTGCCAGTCCAGTTGCGCATGCGGGAGATTTGACCCGAACCTCCAAGCCTTATGTCCAGCTCGTCAATTGTGGCTGGCCCTTTCACTTGGTGCGATGGAGTGCTTTGACTGGCCGACTGCAATCGTTGAATCAATGAACCCATGGCCGATTGGCGGATGTGGCCAAAATGCACTCCCCTTTTTTGCAGCCAAGTGTACTCTGCTGAGCTGTAGGTTCGTGAGACATCATTGCTTCAGCTTCCAACTTCCCTGAAGTCTCTCCTGCTGGGACCCGGGAACTCGTCGTTCTTCGCACATATTAAAAGGCAGGAATACCAGGAATGTTGTATTCGTGTACTGTTCGTGTTTGAGTTCCTACGCCCAACTGCATTGCGCCTTTCGAGCAGTGGGCTATTGCGATGGGGCGTGCCATCGGTGGCAGGACATCACCTGTCGGGAAGTGGCATCTGACTCCGCACATCTCTGTCCTCAGGGGCCTCGAGATATGCCACGCCAGAGCAAAGGGCGCCAACCAAAGTCACACTTTGACCCAGTCGAGGTGGGGTGGTAGTGTCAGAGTATGTAGAAAGGTGAATGACAATTACTGTACATAATATTACATAGCTTTAAGATGCTTTAAGATCGAACAGTTGAAGCGTTCGAGTGCAAAGTGGCAACACTTGGGCCTTCGCCTGCACTTGTATCGTTAATTTGTGCCGAGCGCTTTATGCAATAACAATAAGCACCTCCCGCCAGGTTTTGCCTCCTACTGCGCCTGTCATTGTGGATCGATCTAGATTCATTTAGATACCGTATGTGACACTTTTAGTCGTGTGTTCAACCTTTGCTCCAATTCATCATGTTTGTATTTTTGAATAAGAACTTGTTGGCGTCTGCTGGATGGTCAGAAGAAATTGCCTGGGGGTGTGGTGACGGTTGTTATTTGATCACAGAGCTTCAAGCATCTACAGCCGAAAGGCAAAAAGGACGCTGTGTTTCTTGCTTGTGAACCAAGCTTGCACTTACTCGGGCTTTTCGCAAGTGAGAATCTGAAGGGAAAGAAATGTCACATGAATCGAGCCGGAATTTGGCACCAGGAGAGGTGAGATGACGGAGAACTGTGGGGGAGTTGTGTGAGGGCAGCAGGGTGACCTCGGTGAAGACACAGAGGTTGCATTGGATTTTAGAGACGAAACTTGAAAAATGCATCGCCTGTCAGTCACCATTGGTAGAGACCTCGAGACTGAGCGTGAGCGGAGGTACCTGAATACTGGAAAGTTGTGGATTCCTGTTCCACCACTTGGATGTTGTGGGTAAAGACAGTCTGTCCCCAAAGGTGACTGTTGCCTTGGTGTGCCCTTGGAAGTATTTCAAGGACGCAGGGTCAGTTGAGTTGGGACGCTGAGAGCCTGCAAAGGAAAAAGTGGTTTCAGCTTCGTCTCTCATGTCACCAGAGACGGGTTTTGCGAGCTGCAATTTGCTGCACCTGACTTGATGCTGGAACAGGGCCATCGTCTTATGCGGAGCTCTTCCACACGTTGTCAGGATCTTGGTGCTTAAAACAGCTTGAGAGCAGCTTTTAGGGAAGCCGGTGGCTGCTGCATAGATCTTGCTTTCCAAGGCTGGACCTTCCTTTGCCTGCATCTCATTGTCCCTCCTTTCCTTTGCTGGTTGTTCGTTATGTCACTGAGGACGGCTGCATTTATGGAACAATATGAGAGGCCCGAGGAGCCGCAAGAGCTGTCATTTTGTTACTGGTAGAAATGCCCTTGTTACAAGTAGCAAGCTATGACATAGCTGCCATGATAAGTTGTTGGGAAACCGGTGAAGCCACGAAACTTGTTTGGCTAAGGAGCCTCATACAGATGCCCAGATGATGCGATTGGGCCTCGACAGAATGCTGGGAGCGCAGAGATGAAGCAACAATATTTAACAATATGCCAAAAAGTGTCTATGGGCTATGGATTCGTTTCCATCTAGCTCGCTGCAAGGTCTCCTCCATTCAAGATTGTTCACCAGTGAGCCTTGCTTTTTGTGTGGCTTTTGCAACTAAGCAAGCCGTGATTTGTTGGCGTTGTGTGCTTGGGCTCAGCCTGCTTTTACTTCACAGGTACATCATGAGAAACCAAGCTGGCTTAGGAGGGGTCCAGAGCCTATGGTGCCTTAGTGGTAATATCGTGTGAGGTCTTGACGTTTTGACTGCCCCAAGGTGTGTATTTGGGAGACACGGGATGAGGCTCAACTCTCCATGATACGTGCCACTCAGCATGAAAAGGTGTCATTCAAGATGTCGCCAAATTTGGGCGATCATGGTGTCACCGTATGCCACCGTGTCATCTTTGATTTCCTTTTGAGGTCCTTTGGAACTCTTTGCCTGTGACGCCACGAGTCTGAGACAAAGTTTGACGCAAAAAGGTTCTCGTCTCCTCTCTTCCATCCCGCAGTCTGGCTCCGAAAACGGTGAATTTCTAAAGGTGCATTGCGACAGCCGAAACTTTGAGGTTTTTGGGAGTTGTCCCCTTGAGTGATAAGAATTATCGGGATTGGAAGTCAAATCTAGGGCTTCGCAGACCTTTGCAGAACGGCTGGCAAAGGGGATTTCGTGTAGTGCCTGGCATGGCGAAACAAGGCTGTACAGCAGTCTGGATGGCATGAAAAAAGCATTTTGAAGCTCTGGGAAGTCAACTTGATCTACTTTAGTCATAGTCTTCTCAGACGGTTGGCTTGAAAGATCCCCCCCAAAAAAAAAGACTCTTCAAGCCACCAGTGTTGATCGAAAGCAAGGCCAAGCGACGCAATCAAACGTGCTCGACGCTGAGCAGGAAAGTTGAGCTTCTCCATCTTGAGATGAGCTCCAAGCGATGCTGAACCTCAGAATGCCCAGGAGACTTAAAGACATGCAGACGGTACCGCTTACAGCACCATGCTCAGGTAAATCACCTGGGAGCAGGAGTCCGGACATTGAGCACAAGGCCCTGGTGCCACACTTGCGCTGACCAGCCGTCCCCTACTGTATTTGGTACCATTCAAGCGGATGGCACATTTGTGAGGCTTCCAAAACCACCAAATCCAGAGAAAGCGATGATGACAAAGCCAAAGCAGAGGAGAGATCGGGTAGCGTGTTGAGTGATCGCGCACACATTGCGCCTGCACAGATGCTGCCACAGGATGAAAGGGAGAAAGCCAAAGTCCTGAAGACGCTTGATGAAAGTCTTTGGTGAACGGATTGCTGGCCTGGTCCTCTGGTGTTTGCCAGCTGGATGTCCATAAGGAAAATGGAGAAGAAAGCCAAGAAGGAGGCCCAAGACAGCTTCGCATAGCGGCCACGGTGTTTTTCTTTTTGCACTGTGTTTGTTGGCATGTCCTAGCAGTGAGAGTTTCCGAGGCAAAAAAAGCCAAGAAAGCTGCAAAGAAGCTGCAGTGTCCTCAGAATGTTTTGCCGTGTTCCCCCCTGCAGTTTCGAGCCGGGATGGTACAGGAAGAAGCTCAAGAAGGCAGCAAAGAAAAAGAATGGAAAGCAGAAGCCTTATTGGAGCAAATATAACTTTTATTCCGTTTTCTTTGCTTCAAGTCCACATGTGCCTTTTATGGGGTTGAGTTTGTGCGCGCAAGGCGCCATAAACTCAGCATGTCCAAGGAGCGATTCGAGCGACTCTGATGAGTCGAGCAGCATTCCCTTTGTCCCTCGGGTGCAGAATCCGAACAGAAAATACAGTCACATGTATACAGTGACAGGTGCCTTACTAGTAGTAACAAGTGCCTCGCTAGTAGTAACAGGTGCCTTACTAGTAGTAACAAGTGCCTCGCTAGTAGTAACAGGTGCCTTACTAGTAGTAACAAGTGCCTCGCTATTGGAAAGAACACACATACAGTCACATAGCATGGCAAAGTGGCATAGCATAGCCGCTGCCAAGGTCATGGACATGGGCTTCTCGGCCTCTGGAAAGGAGACAACGGAACTGAATGGGTATAGAACTGCATACAACACGAGCGAGGAGCTAGATCCTCGAAATCCAGATGCCAGAATCCAAAGGGACCTTGGCTTAGAGAGTCCAAGCATGGCAGCCTGCCCAAGCTGCACACACTTGTCCACATGTTTGTCGTTTGGGCACAGGCTTTGGGTCTGAGCTGCGGAGCCTTTTCGTTCATTGAGCGGAAAGATGATGAAGAGGCTTTGACCACAGATGCCACACCTTGCTCACAATTGACTGGCCTTATACCCCAAGGTCTACAAGGATGGGCGGCAACAGAAATACAAGGACCGCGAGACAAAGCGTTCTTCCTTGCTACCAGTGCAATACGCATCATATCAGTATGATCACCATGAAAAGTATGCATTTGTTAAATGCATTGTTGATTCTTGAGCTGTTTCTCTGAGGATGGCGAGGACACCAGCAAAGACTGGATATGTTTGCGGTCCAAAGCCAACGGAGAGCCGTGCCTCGGAATCAATATGGATCAAGTGCCAGCAAGATTGCAAAGTTTAAAGGGTTCAAGCAGGCAAATGTGTGGGACGCAATGGGAGTCTTTTTCGTTCTTTTGTGAGGTTCCCTCACCATGACTCAATCAGGCCACACGGCACACTCACTATCAGGTGCGGGGAGCGGAATTTCCCACGCAATGAGAAGTGCTTTCGCTGCAGTGGCCTTCGTCAAAGCAATGCACCTTTGGCAGCTCTGCCAAAAAATGTGTGTGGGGAGAGAGAGAGAGAGACGTCACGTCGATGAAGCTTTCATGTTAAAGTTGAGCCCAGGTCAAGGATTACAAGCCGATGCTGGGCTTTGCTTGATTTTGCCATACTTAGTCAGACGTAGAAGCAGGGCTCAGCAAGATCATTCCTGGAAATGGTTTGTCAACTATTGAACATTTGGCCAAGGAACAAGATCGACGGGCGCAAGTTCTGAGTTCGGACCGGCCAATGTGGTGCAAAGGGTGTGCGCACAGACCGACGCCCTTTGCCCTGGCTTTACACCGCAAAAAGTAACCGACAAAGATGAAGAAGAGACCAAACTATCTTAAAAGGAGTGATTGCCTTGAATTTTGGCGTCATGTTCTTTTACGGATACCAGCGGATGCTGCCACGGTCCGAGGTGTCAAGTGTTTGCAAGCTGGTACCTCGCTTCCTCAGAGTGTACTTTGATGCCTCCTCCCCAGGTTTAGAATTGACAATTCAACTATTTTCAAGATGTTGGGTGCTGCTGTGCGGATCATGGTCGCCACCGCAGGTGCTGCTGACAAATGCTCCGCCTGAGTGTATTGAGAAGGCTTTGAAGCACAAAGGAATGAAACAACCTCGCACCGGGCACGTCATGAACAAGCTTTCCTGTTGAAAAGGTCGAGCTGCGGTCTGCTGCGGTTTGCATTCTTCGCAGTCGCAGTCTCACCGCTGCAGGTTGTGCCGTTGCTGCTGCAGCGATTTGCATCTTTATATCCGGTGGATTTCTTCTTAAACTCAGCTCGGGCCCTGTTTCAGCTTGACATGATGTTCATTAATTACTAGGATATGATTTGTCAATATTTGATCATATTTGTCATGGTTTTGTGCTCGTGGCATGTGGACTTTGGCGATGATGAACTTGTGCTGGCTACCACCTGCAGTCGTTTGTCACGCCTTCCCTCAGGTCCATACCTTGATCATCGACACCCTTCAGGCACTGAAGCTGCTCATGGCTTTGTTTCGGCATGGCCTGATTGATAGTTTGTGCTTGAGGCTATATTCCAACAGTGGCCGGAGTTCCTCATGTCATTGCAGAGGGAGGCACGAGCTCAGCCGGTTTGGCTTAGGAGTTCCTCCCAGTTTTTGCGACCCCCCTCCGCCAGGTCGTGCATGCAATCTCCACTCACCTTGACGTACAAGGTCCGAATCAAGATGAATAATCAGGGTCGCCGAGTTGATCATTATGACTCTGGACTATGTGAGGCTGTGGTAGGCGGAGCCCACCTACCCCCAGCCAGTTCAGGTCGATTGCTGGTCCTTCACCTATGCTGGATCATCGGCGAACTTCTCAGGCATTGCCTTCACAGATCTTAGGTTGGAGGCCATTTAGGTTCAACTTCTCGGAATGGCGATTGAAGTCTCAGAGCTGGCAGGCCACCGTGTGAAGCTGATGGCCGGGCCGGGTTGGCGATGTTCTTTGAGGCTCTTGAGACCCTGGCATACCAGGCCGGGTTCGTGTAGACAAAAGCAGATCCCATATCCGAGGGAATTCCCTTGGTCAAATCTGCGTTTGTGTTTGTGCAACATATGTTCTGGCCTCCAGGCCATTTCAGTGATTGTGGGCACCTCAGCCACCTATTGCACTCAGCCACCTGTTGTAGGATCTGCAGACGATCAGATCCGGTTACAATTTTGAGGCTCAGCCGGCTCTCCATGGGTCTGGCGGGGCCGAGGCGCCAAACGTGGGTGATCGAATGAACAGTGATGTGAGTATTGACTCCGCGTGGCCATAGAGCATGAGATCAGTGAGATGTGCATTGTTTAGATTTGGACTTGAATTCAATTCGCGTGGACATGTAGCGGTTTGAAGACATGCCCCCAAGGTAGATGGAGCACTGAACAAGTCTGGTGGGAAAGGCCTGGAGCGCGTGCACAGGTTTGCTGCGGTGGGGTTGTAGCTGGAAGGGGGGCAGCGTTGTTCATATTCCAATGTACATCACCTCAGATGCTGCTTAAGTGTCGAGGGCTGGACTATACTGAACACAGTGGATGGTTTGAGTGGGACGTGCCACATGCCAGGACATGCCAGGACATTACTGAACACTGGCCAGGTTCAGCCAGGTACTGAAAGATGCCAGGCATTGCCAGGTGAAGTAAAGGCTCGAAGCCCAAAGAGTCGAAAAGCGGAGCTGAAGGAGGAGGCTCTGAAGGCAGGGGTGACCACTTTCAGCTGCAATTGAACCAGACTATGAAAGAGTTATATAAATCATACAACACCAAGTGAGCCAGAAAACAATATGTACCATAGTTTGCCAGTGCTTCGACCACTAGAACTTTCAGTTCCAGACGGCCTATCTTGTGCTTCTGGGCCTGAGTAAAAAGACGGACCGCAAAAGTGTTAAGTCCAATATCTTAGCCATGCAAGGCCCCTCAATGAGTCACGCCAGGCCCAAACAAAAAAGCAATGAGATGCGCCAAAGGGAGTAGTGCCTCAGATGTAAAGCTGCATGAGCTCACTCACAAGAGGCAAAAGGACACATGCTTTCATCATTCATCACAGTGGCTGTCACGGCCACATGCATTGAGCATGATTGAGCCTGCCCCTGCTGATGGTTGACAATGGATGGATGTTTGCGAAACCTGACTACATACAAATTCATACAAACAGTTGCCAATGTCCTTTGAGTCAACAGAGCTTCGTCCAGCAGACGTTTGCCTTTCAACACTAGTTTATATATCTCATAGGTTTCTTCAACATGGATGCTTGACTGCCTGCATGACAATGACTGACGGAGCAACTGAATGAACGGCTTCTCACTTGTTTGGCTGTTTAATTTATGTAGTTCTGGAATTAGTAAAATGCAGGTTGCGAAAGCTAGCCTTTGCCAGCTGAAGTTGCAAGAATTGGTCAGGGCAGCTCCCAGAGCAAACTTCCGATACATCGGATGCAGGCCCCCCCACCCATTGTCAGGCTTCTTGTTATATGGAAAGACGTTGCATGCGGTCCGGCCTCGGGTTCAATTCCCTTGTCCCTGGTCCGATTCTTTCCGAATCGGTCCAGAGCCGTCCGCTAGCTTTCGCTCCCCCGCTGGCCTCAAGGTTGCAAATAGGAAGCTCCATGCCATGAACAACTGTACTGACAAAGTTCTTCACAGTGTTCCTCACGGCACACAGCAAGGACAGAACATTCAAGGGCACCGATCTCTTTGTCAACGCAAGATCTCCATGCCACGGAAGTGGAACGCCTGATCCGATATTTGCGCCTCATATCCTACCTTTGCGCAGGGCTGCACGCGGGTGGCGAAACAGCTCTTTAACAAGTATTTTTGCTCATTGGAATGGACAGAGGTTTGGGAATGGAAGCTGGTGAGGCGGCAGCCTACATAAAGGTGCACCAGGTGCGATCAGACCGAGAATGGCAAAAAAGTAGCGGCTTGACCAGAGAATGCCGTGACGTTCCAGAAGTACAGGGTATTCCCATTCCTAAGCAGCCAAGGGTGCGATGGGATCGATTGTTGCAAACTCTGATGGCATTCTTGTTGGTAATCTCGCCGTTGATTTTTCGAGGACACCTCAAGGAACGGCAGTTCATCTCAGCTGACAAGATCGCAGTAGATGCCTCCAACTGCCACATTCTTGTTCAAGATGGCGACTCTGCGGGCTTAAGAGTGCAGCATTGGATGTTCATGGGCACTGTAGAGCAACGATGGTCCAAGGGCACTTTGCGCGTTGCAGCTGCCATGCAACCATGGATGTCATCTTGGTTTCGATGCAGCATGATGGTCATAGCACCCTCCAATTTCAGCAACACTCATAGAGTCAAGGACCTTAAGGAGCTGAATGTGACAGTGTCGAATGGGCAACTCCCCGTGGCTGTTTTGTTGCAAGGGGGGGCGGGTGCAGGGCCCGATCCAAATCTATGCCAAGACCGCTGCCGTCATTAATGCAACAGGCATCCAAAGCTCAGGCGCCATCCGCATCCGAAGCCGTGACCCAGGCTTGATACAGCTCAGGATTGGGGGGTTCGGCTGACGATTTTATGCATTTTTGTTGTTCCGATGCATTGGGCAGGGTGAATCCTTCTAGATGTTCATTACATCCTTTCTTCACAAATTACGAATCAGTGAAACAGTAATGATTCTCACTGCTGCTTTGAGAGTACTTCGTTGTTCGATGTGATTCGGGTTCTTTGCCGCATGCAGGATTGGTGAAAGTTTGGCCGCCAGCTGGGACATTTCCGGTGCCAGCCCTGTCTTCATCCAGTCGGCAGTGCCGGTCGAGATCAAAACAAGTGGGAAGCTGGGAATACTCCAGGCACCCAAAATAGAGGACCACTCTGTGAGAACGATGCAATGATGTCACTTGAAGTGGTAGGTCCCTGGTAGGTCTTGGAGGTTGAAACAGTTTCCCAATCAAGACAAATTGTGCCTTGAACATCCTTGAACTCTGCAGGACGAGTCTTCACATGTAAAGCTGTGTTCTGCGAGGATGGCGAGCAATCAGACCTTGTCCATTACCAGCCGAAGGCTAGATGGTGATTCAGGTGACCCCTTCGACTGTGAGAATGCACAGATAATTCAGTTTAATGCAACAGCAGACGCAACCGTTCATGCCAAAATTCCTTGCAGTGAAACTCCATGCCAAATGAAGGCAACCTCTCAGGATTTGCAACTCACACCGACAGCAAGGGAAGCCCTACTGGAGGTGCACGATTTTATAGAGAAACAAACTAGTGGTCGCCGGCCGTGGCTGGTATCAATTGGAATTGGAGGGCTTGATGAGCAATGGGCTTTGGCTAGCACTGCAGCCTTCACCTACTTTGATTCATCATGGTTCGCAGCGCTTTCATTTGGGGTGCTGTCGCCAATCACCATGGGGCCTTTCTTGCACTTACAAGGGGACCTCACCAATACAGCAGCTGAGGGGAGCAAAGACCTCGGAATAAAGTCATTGGTGCCGGAGGACGACCTTGATGAGGCTTGTCCGTTTTGGCGGCGTAGCTTTCAGATTGCAAAGTTGCTCTTGGAAGGCTTAGACTTGAAGCCTAGGCTTGAAGGAGTTGACTTGCAACTTAAGCAACACAACTGCAGACATGGACTTTCGTTTCGAAAGCTTGGCAAGGGCATTGTTGCGGACTGGATTGCTAAGGGATACCCAATCAACATTTGGGTAGCAATGCTAATGAACCTGTTTTGTGCTGCAATTCTGGCCATTGGTGTGGTTGCTGCCACACGGAACCTCATTTTGCCCTTTATGTACAAGCGGCTGTCAGAGAAGCTCCAGTCTGCTCGAGTTTCTCAACGTTTGCAAGTTGGAACTGTTGAGGAGACAGACATCAATGCACACTTTGTGCACTATCCTGAGCGTGGTGTCCAATTGACATGGTCGAGGCGCCAAGCAGCCCAGGGTGCTTCCACATACATCATCCGACTAGTTTCTCTCAGCGGGTCATCTGAGGAGCGGTTGCAGGTGTCAGCAGGTGAGACGGAAGTGCATGCAACAACCTACAGCTTTTTCCTTGCGTTGGATCGTGCTCACATTTTCTATTCGAAGGATGATTTCACCTTCAGTGTGCTGGCCATGTCCCGCGCCATGCAGTCGATGGATGTCACTGGATGGTCCAGCCCCGTGCGCATTGAGCCATTGTGGGCCACAGCACATCTTCCTTTCAAAATGCTTGTGTCTTTGATGCCTAGGAGCGAAGAGACCAGAATGAGCTTTCCGCTGTTTCTTCGCAGCGCTTGTTACAAGTATACTCCGCCAGCGTTGACCCTGGCGCTGGACAAACTTCATGTGATTGCTGACAGAGAAGATATTGCTGAGGACTTCCGTGTCGAGCTTTTTCTGGGCAAGGCAAAAGAAAGGTCGCAGCGCGCTACTTGTGAGAAGAAAGAACAGTCGTTTGCAATGTCCCGACTCATGACTCGTGATGAGATGGCATTGCCCAGTTCCGTTCCAAGAGCAAAAGGTTGGACAAAGGAAGATTCTGAAGATTTTTTTGGCATCGACATTCTTCCAGATCAGCCAATAAAGCTCACTCCACCATTCCGCGATGGCATGCGCAGTGGTACAACACTGCACATTCATATTGTGTCGGGCAGCTCTCGTCAGCTGCTCGCAACAGGCCACGCAGAGTGGAGTGACTTAGAGGATGCCTATGAGAGGACTCGTCCAGGTCTCGAATTTACGACGCAGGCGACCTTCTACACTTTTCCAAGACATGTCTCGAATATATTCAATGATTTGATATAAGTTGTGTTTCCTGGGTCGCGCATGTAATCATGTGCTTTGTCTTAACACATCTCAGCGGCCCAACAGCCCAACGAGTCCTCTTGCATGTCAAATTGTCATAGTGACATAGTGTCCCTGTAGTCTCGTTTCTGGTCAAATTTAGGCATTGTTTTCTTCTCGTTTCTGCTCTGTCACACAGCCTGTAATAATGCTGTTATGTAACCGTGAGGCCATCGCTACTATGGAGGCCATCGCTATTAAAAGGTTGGAGGCCATCGCTACTAGGTTGGAGGCCATCGCTACTATGTTGGAGGCCATCGCAATTAGGTTGGAGGCCATCGCTACTAAAAGGTTGGAGGCCATGGCTATTAGGTTGGAGGCCATCGCTATTGGGTTTGAGGCATCGCTTTTAGGTTGGGAGCCACCGCTATAAGTTTGGAGGCCATGGCTATTACGTTGGAGGCAATCGCTATTGGGTTTGAGGCCATCGCTTTTAGGTTGGGGGCCACTGCTATAAGGTTAGAGGC